AATTAGTAAATTGTGGGGGATCATCACTATCAAATGGTTACAATTGACCAACTTCCAAATTTTTTCTACCAGCACACATGATAAATATTACACAGAATATTAAATAATATGATGCAAAAAATCTCAACCATTATTTTGACTTATTTTTTATTATTGTTTTCTTTACAAGTATTTGACTTTGCTACTTAGCAACCCTGGATTTCAGAAAACGTGGCACAGTGTGCACTTCTACAAATTAAGTTTTATAGTGATTGAAGTAGCTGACCAATCAGAGGTTGCACACAATTACAGACGGTTGCAGATGGTTGCAGATGGTTGCAGCATTAGATGTCAATATTTTTTTGGGTTGCAACCTCCAGAGTTGCAACTTCCTAGTTGCAGAGCCATCTTTAGTCATTAGGGTTATTCATTCAGCCTTGATTTAATCGACTATGTTGTGTTAAGCAAAAAAAAATTGAGGATATTATTATTAATACTTAACTCACATGTATTGTGAACATATGACTTGGATATAGATTATAAATCTTGGTGGTGGAACTTTTAATTCTTGAAATACAAAATAGTATAATGATGCTCTTGGTGACAAGGATTTTGATTATGCATTGGTGGTGAATTATATTATAATAATTTATAAAAAGGAACAATGTAATGGCATCACAAAATATAGATAGATTGGCTGGCATTTGACATATTAAAAAAAGCAAAACTATAAATAGATATCAATCTTACAGCTGAAAACAGTGATATTAATATATTAATTAATATTAAATTGACATGAGCAAATGATTAAGAGTTATATTTGTCATACAATTGAACCTTGTAAGATGCAAGTGTATGAATTTATTCTGGTTGGTAGAATGGCATTATTCTAAATATGTTTGAAGCTGTTGAATGAATCTTTGGTAATGAACCAAACAAAAATATTGATCCTTTTACAAAAAGAGAACTTTCCCAGATAAATTGGAATTTAATGATTGAGAAAAGATGGCAAAGTTGAAGCAGTCAAGGCAGAATGTTCTATTATACAAAGAGTAAATTTTGGCTCTTGTTAAAAAAATCTTTTTAATGGTCAGCAGTTTGAGCCTCATAAAATCCGATTGGTCGCCACAAGAATGTAATCACATTAGTTTCTAATCAATTTTGCCTTGATATATATACATTTTGCGCCCTGAATATAAACGAGGTATGACTGTACGTTTTCTTATGTTACACTAATTATTTTTTGTTTATTTGTAACACAATGAACATTTTTTTTAGAGATGCTTTCTTTTTTAAGAAATCTCAAAATTATTATTATGCATAAAAACAGTTTACAGACAAGAAACATCCAAACAAAAATAGAAAATATAGATCCTTCTACAATTGTTTTTGTGGAGGATAAAGATATCAAAGATCCAAAATTTATATGCACGAACCCAGAAACTATAAAAATACTGAATGAAGCAAAAGATTTACTTTGTTTAAATGAAGTCGTAGCAATACCAACCGAAACTGTATATGGTCTTGCTTCAAATGCACTTTCACCCATTTCAATCAAAAAAATATTTCAAGCGAAAAACCGACCATTAGATAATCCACTTATTATACATATTTCGTCATTAAAAATGTTGTACGATTTATTGTCACCTACTAGCACCAGCAACACTAATAATGCCACCACCACAAGTACTATTACCACCGATTCATTTACACTGTCACCATTATATGATGTTTTAATGAAAAAATTTTGGCCAGGTCCTTTAACTTTATTATTTCCAAAAACTGATAAGATACCTGATGAAATAACATGCGGCCAAGATAAAGTAGCAATAAGATTTCCATCAAATAATATAGCTAGGGCATTAATTACATTATGTGGATTTCCTTTAGCAGCACCATCAGCTAATTCATCAGGTAAACCTTCGCCTACATTAGCTAATCATGTTTATAATGATTTGAATAATAGGATTCCTTTGATAATTGATGGTGGACAATGTGATTTTGGTTTAGAATCAACAGTTTTAGACATTACAAAACTGATCACTGATAAAATTTATGAAAAAGAGGATGAAACCACTACTAAATACCCGGTTATTCTAAGACCTGGAGGTATAACCTTTGAACAATTAGTCAGAGTACCAGGTTTAGAACATTTAAAAGTTTATAAAAAAGATTTTATAGATGAAAATTTAGAAATGAAGCCTACAACACCTGGTATGAAATATAGGCATTATTCGCCTGATGCAAAAGTTATTTTGATTGATGTTACTATTAAGAATGGTGGTGACGACGATAAAGTTAGAAATATTATAAAACGTGAAATTAATGAAATCAAAGAAATTGAAAACAAATCAAAAATGGTTATTGGAATATTAACATTTGGAGCTTTTCAAAAGAATGGATTTACTTATTATAATAATGAAAGAAATGAGAACGATGAGATTATTGAATATTCACTGGGTGATTTAATACATCCACATCAAATTGCAAAAGAATTGTTCAAGGGTTTAAGATATTTAGATGAAAAGAAGGTTGATTATATTATAGCACAAAGTATGCCTGAGATTGAAGAAGGTTTAGCAGTGATGAATAGATTGAGAAAAGCTGCTTCTAAAATTATAAATGATTAGGTACTCTAGCAAGATGTATTGATTAAGTACATATATTCTTGTACATATGTGTGAATAATATATTTACATGTAAATATACATTTACAATAATTAACAAATTGTGAAATACATTAAATTAATAATAATATAATTTGATATAATGTGATATTTAAAATATTATTAAAATTGAGCAGGACTAGCAGGGGCGGGAAATCAAGGGACTTGAAGAAGGTTTCATTGAAGTTGTCGCATTACTCACATTATCATTATTAGAAATTTCTGATGAAATAATCATCATCTGTTGTAAACCTTGGAGAATTTATCAACATTGTATTATTGCTATTGTTATGAAAATTAGTTACATTGATGGTAATTGATATTAGTATCAGTATTATTGTTGATGTATTGTTTGAATGTGAAGGTGACATCCCATCAAAACATTTTTGATCCCTACCAATTATTTTTTAATTTGGATAAAATTTTATCTATACCTTTTTATTGTCATCAGAAAATACTAGTGATATGCCATTTGAAGCATTACGAGCTGCAGTATCTGTTATAAGAATTCCAGAATCAAAGTCATGAAATAATTTATTAAATGCTTTTATAAATAAAAGGATCGAAGACGATGTTAATGTTAATGTTATAATGTTATTAAATAAAAAAATACCTTTAACTCTGTCACATAATGATATATATGATCTCTAAAACTCATTAGTACCAAACGTTCAATGCTAATTTAATGTGAACTCATTTGCATTTGTAATGGCAGAAAAACTCCTTCAAAACAAGGATAACTGTTCCAAAATAAAATAACCATAATTCAACTAAATTAGAAACAAGTTCTCGTCAGGACAGACACCTTTTAATTTTCCGTTAAGAGTAAACACTCCAGAGTCTAAAAGTTCACTTATATCTTCAAAAAGTAATTGTAAAAATTGATTATTTATTCATCATCTTTATTTAATAAATATTTGATTAACATTTATGAATAGACAAATTAGCTTTTACATTTAATTCAAAATTTTTTCTTTAAAAAAAAAAATCTTTCTTACCTTACCAATTATTTAAATCTTCAATTGGCAATTTTAATCCTTCACTATTAATTGATAAAACTTTTATTGCCAATGTACTTCAAAGATTAATTTGTTCCCATTTATTTATATTTATAATAACTAAAAGACATATACAAATGAAAATAATTACTTTTGGTCAGTTATCAATTTTTTTACGTGCTTTTATTTTTTATAAAAAGGAACCATATATTGTTGACAACAACTAGGTTTCTATTCATAATATAAATTCTTATTCGAATCAAAAAAATTATTCGTTTTATTCGTTACTCGTTTTATTCGTATTTGTTTTATAAAATATAGGTCTTATTTCTTTAACAAGATAATATAAATATAATTACACTACCATTCAAAAAGGATTTGGACGAGGTTTTAATAATTACGCAAAATGCCACTTAGCAAAAGTATATAAAGTTTACATCAATATTAGGTTTGACAACTCCACATATAAAATATCATTTTTCTATCATCCTTTTTTTACGTTTTTTTTTTAGTTAAAAAAAACGAACATCAGTCAAAAATTTTTCTTTAAAAAAAAAAAATCAATATTCTGTTGGCCGCCTGTTATTAGAAATTAATGCTTCAATTCTTCTCAGCATACTTTCAATAAGGTTATGCAACACATCCTAAGGAATTTGAGACCATTCTTCTTTTATTGCAATCTTCAACTTTGTTCATACGTGACAAGGACATAAAGTTCTAGTCATTTATTTAAACTACCAACTATTAAATTTTTATTAAATTATTAAAAAAAAATCACAAAGATAATCCTCGATTTATTTGGTGTTAATTAAAAATCATAAAAGAATAATATAAAAATGAGATAGAATTGCCAAACCCTAAGCTATATAATGATATAAATTTTATGTATTTTTGTTATGTGGCATTTTGCGTAATTATTAAAAAACATCGTCCGGATACTTTCTGGAAGGTAGTGTATATTTATGGTTGCTAGTACTATGACTTAAGAAAAGAAATGAAAAAATATCAGCCACTACTATTTATTATTATTATTATCACTATATGCAAGGGAGGGACTAAGGAAAATGGATTGATAAAGAAAAATTTTTTAATTGGATCTTATTTGAATTATTATTATTATTAATTTATTTGAATAGAAACCTCGAGTGTTATTTATTAAAAAGAATGGCGGTTGTCACGATTTCAGTTATTTATAAATTCGTTTTATTTAATCTTAAGAAAAACGCTTTGCAAAATTTCGTCCTAAATGTTCAGCGGTAAAACATTAAACCATAAATGTTTAAGCATGCTTAAATAATAATATTAAGATTATTATATAGAAAGCAAAAAACAGATTGAATGTGCAATGTCACAAAAAATGTCCTTGATTGATATATCTGAAGTTAGTAAATTACATCACATATTTGTAATATCAGAATCTATTGAAAATGTAAATATATAAAACATTATGGTTTAATTATTTATAATTGATTAATTAATTGAACATTTATTCATAATGTTGTTCTTGATGATTCCTCCACAACTGTTGATGTATGTTACTCTATAGGGGTCAGATTGCAGGCGCAACACGATACAAAGTGTGTGACTTTCTAAAACAGAAGGTCCATGTATATAGAGGCCTCTAGAGGGGTTTTTTTCATTGATAGCTTGACGGAAGACATCCAATATTTGCTGATGGTGTTTCCCGGTAATGATAAGTACTTTTTCGTTCTGAAGACGGAACGTTCTTGAAGATTGTTGGGTCCCAGCTTTGGTAGTTGGACAATGGTGACGGAAACTGTCTGCAAGTCAGCACCAATACTTGCTGCTTGCTGTAAAATGCAAAAGAAGAAACAGGTTCATGTTCATTCTTGAGTTTTTTATTAAGGTGAAAAAACGACATGGTGAATCAAGCTGACAGTGAAATGTCATTAAGAAGTTTCTATAGAAAATATGTCATGTACCAAAATTTGTTGATTCACGTTTCCCAAATCAACAAAAATTTCAGCAGGTATTATAAAATAATTTTTATCGATACATTTAGAAAGAATTTAGGAAAATCTATGATTGAATAAAATTATAATCATAAATAAATATTATAATGCGAATACGAGGCAATATTTTTGTTAATTATTTAAAGTTTCATCGTCATTGTATTCGTAGAGGTTATTCAATAAGAAACACTATTACTAACAATAATAATGCTAAATTACTCGAAATCAGGGAAGAATTTCGTAAATTAGGGTAAAGTTTTAATATTAATAATATTCTTTATTATTATAGACTGATTGATTAATCTAAATCTAATCGTTTAGTGGTGGATCTATTGATTTTAATCCAATATTTTCGCCAGGAATTGGATTAATCACACTTAACAATCTTAAAAAACATAATTCATTAAGTGGCAAGATGATGGCAGAATTGGCAGATTTGGTTGATAGATTAGAAAAGGTTGTAAAGATTGATGTTTGCAACGACGATGATGAAAATAGTGAAATCAATAATGATCATGATCGTGATTATGATGATTATGAAAAGAATTTGGTTGGATTGATATTAACTGGTAGTGAAAATACTTTTTGTTCTGGTTTAGGTAATAATATATTAAATTAATATATAATAAATTGTTATTACTAATTCTTCTAATTATTATTATTAATTAAAGATTTAAGTGTGGCAAAAGACCATATAATAACACCTGAAAATGGGAAGAAAATGAGTTTACTTATGCAAGATACATTATTTAGATTCAACAATTTACCACTGATCTCTATAGCAGCTATTGAAGGGTATGCATTAGGTGGTGGAGCAGAACTAGCTACAGCTTGTGATCATAGATGTGTTTCAGGTAGATGAATAAATAATGTAATACTTTTTTTTTTCCAAAAATCAATAATAAAATCTAAAATGCTATTATTAGAGAAATCTAAGATTAGATTTGTACAAGTAAAAATGGCAGCTACATCTGGTTGGGGAGGAGGGAATAGATTAATTAATATAGTTGGTAGGAATAATGCATTAAAATTACTGGGGAAAAGTGAATTTTTAAGTTATAATAATAGTCATCAACAAGATCAACAAGATATTATTGATATTGGATTTGTAGATGTGGTTTCCAAGGAAGGAGGGACCATTAAAAAATCCATAGAATTTCTTGATTCTTATATTTATTTTCATAGTAAGAAACAACAAATTGAAGAAAAAAATCGAGATGAAGAACATCATCCAAGAAAAAGAAATAGTGTTAATGCAGTAAGTATTTTTTTTAATAAAAGTGGTTATATAAACTTATAAACAAATCATTGTTATAATTATTATAATTATTTTTTTAGGTAAGAGGAATTAAATTATTAATAGCAAACCATAATTCAACAGAAACACAAAAAAAATTATTAGATTATGAACATGAAATATTTTGTAAACTTTGGGGTGAAAAAGAAAATATCCAAGCAATTTTGAAATCCAAAAATTAGTTTTAATTATTCAATAAACCATTTAATAATTATCTAAACAATCATTCCATTTGAAAAACTTACAATCAAATAAAATTTATTAAGTAGCACTCTGAATTAAAGTAATATTATCACCTTTCAACAAGATTCTTCCTAAATAATAATATTAAGTAGATGGGTATTCATTAGAGAGAGATAATAATAATAATTGCTCAAGATATTATTGATAATACTAGTTGGCATAATTTACCTAATGATTTTCTAGACTTTTTCTTGACATTTATTTCTTCAGCATCATCAAGAACCAAATTCATAAATTCATCAAATCCCTAGCAAATAAACAAATAAATTAATTCTTAATTTTACTCATCAAATAAATCGAATTAATTATTTGATTGATTAAAGAAATTATTCACAATAATTTGCCCTTCAATTCTTAAATCTACTTGTTCATATAACCATATTTGAACTCTTGTTTTCTATTAAAATAAAATATATTTATTATGAATTTATTTATAATATATACCAATCTTAAGATAATTATAAATATAATTAATTAATTACATTTTGTAAATATTTAAAAATCAAATTCTAAAGAATTACAAAAAGATAAATCATCAGTATATAACAGAATGGAATTACAATAGAATACAATCTTTTTTAATATACTTACAATGGGCTGAACCATAATCTTTTGAACTTTTGTTGCCATATTTATACGCACTATACACTATATGTATGTTATAAATTTTTTTTTGAAGATTTGATAAAAATAAAAATTTAGTAAAATTTTTTTGCTCTCACGTGTAACATCAAATTTTTAATTTAACAAAAAAACCGCTTTTGTTCTGGCTGAAATTTAAGGAAAGGTTATTGTTACAAAGCAAATCTATATTTTACTTTATTAAAGTAATAAAAAATAAACAAATTTAGAAAATTTCCAAACTATTAAAAAGCAAGAGATAAAAATAATAAAAATAATTCATAAAATTAAATAATCATAAAAAATGAACTCAAATCCATATCAATTATATCATTTCAACAACTATGCTTCTTTTTACTTTGTCAAGCGAAGTTGTATGTATCAATAAAGCAGTCTATGATAATTGTAGAAAATACAGACGACTCTAAATTAGCTTCTTGTCCACCATCAGATTATGCCTGTCAATGTGATATGCGCAAACGTATTGGTTTATTTATTTTTGTCTAAAGACTTCGTTTTCATAATTAAATAAATTAATGATGTTACCTTCCACTTGAAAAAAAAAACAATTTAGAAATTCAGCATTGTTTTCAACAATCTCAAGATATTGATATTCAAAAAGAAGGAAAAGCCTACGAGGTAAATTTATTTTTTTCCCTATCATCATTGTCATCATTGTCACACTCTTCCTTTCATTCTTATTATTAACAATTAATAACTAGCTTGCAATTCAACATTTTTGTGAGCTGCCAGTTCAAAAACAGCTTTTCCTATAAGAATTTTTTTCCGAAAAGTACATATTCAATGTATTTTCCATGTACTTTCCTATACATTTTCAGTGCATTTTCAGGGCAAATATGTATAGAAAACACTCTTTTAATGTATAATTACGTACGGAATATGCGGACAATGCATGGAAAAACCATATATTTTCTGGCAAAATTTTTATAGGAGCATGCCCAAGGTGTTTTGGTCAGCAACACCCGAATCGTTGCCAGTTGGAGTGATTGAGATAGTTTTACTTAGTATGTCGTCCATAGCTTTATCAAATTAATTCCGAATTTTTCTGAAGCTAAGTCAAATTTGCTTTACCTTGAGAACATGGAAATTTGAATTTTCTAGTATACCTTGAAAATGTCGCAATGCACCTGGACCAATCAGTTCTTGAAATGGATCGTACAGAAGGTTAGTTCTAGCATAAAGAAGTAAAAATAGTAATAGTACTTTATCATGAATCAAGAGATGGAATGATTTTACATCACCAATACACCTTGTTTTCTTTTAGTTGTAACCAATGCATCTCATAATTTCCAAATATCTTCCTCCCAAGAATCTTCTTTTTCCTTCAGCTTCTTCCTGCCTTCTTCTAAAGCCTCTTTTTCTTCTTTACGCTATTTCTTTTCTTACACTTCTCCTTTCTCAATTTCTTCAACTCTTCCAACTTCTACGTACCTTTTGTGTTCTTCTTTTGCATCTTCAAGTTCTCATCTGATTTCTTTGATGCTTGCCATTTTGTTTGTAAGTAAAGATTCTAAGAAAAAAAAGTTTTTTTTATTTATTTAATGTTAAATCTAACAAGTGATTAATTAGATCATAATTGTCAGCAATTAAAAAAAAACTTTTTTGCTTTAATCCAAATAATTTTATAGAAATAAGATAAAAATTGTCAGAGTGCTTCTTGCATTGGAGGAAAATAATCGTACCCAAAGCAATTATTAGTATTACCTATTTTTGGGCGCACTTGACAAAAATCTAACTTTGACTAAACATTTTTGTTAAATTAAATTTACTTGTAGTAGAGTTATTAAAAAAATAGGTATTTGCCGTCTTTTAAAATCAATGAAGATTTAGTCTTTAATACTGATTTTTTTATCAGGTTTGGTTTTACAATTGTAAAATATTAACAAGAATTACAGCCGTGTTTTTTCATTGATATTTGCCTATTTCAGTCAAGTATTTTACCAAATTTGGAAATTCTAAATACTGCAATGATCGACGTTCTAGAATTGTCATGGAATGAAGATTCCCGATAATTATTATTTTTGTATATATCAATCATGAACTGTAAAATATACTAAAGTTTATTATTATTATTATTATTCACTCTCTTTATAACAGGCCATTTGGCTTATGAAAAAATGTTTATTATAGAAAGAATCCATTATAGACAGTGTGATTTATATATATATATTAATATGGGACATAAAATTGTTGTCAGTCCATTATAGGAAGATCCATTATAAAGAGAGTAAACTGTAGTTGGTAAAAACTGCAATAAATTGAAAAAAATGAATATAATCAAACCTTTGCTTCAACAAATTAAAAATTCGCATTACAATGAAACTTGTTTCAACGAATTATAAATTCGTGTTATAATGAAACTTGTTTCAACGAGCTATAAAATTGGCATTACAATGAATTATAATTAACAAATTTTTAAACACATAATATAAAATTTGTGAAATGTGATTAGTAACGGGTTTTGTTAGATGCAATTTTCTTATAAATAAAGTTTGGCTGTAAATAAATAAAATAATTTACATATATTTTTTTACTTATCTCTTAATTCATTTAATGTTAGTTTCAGTTAAAATAATTTCCTCTGATTCATCAACATCATCATTGAGATCTTTGACTTGTTGCAGAATTAGTAATAAATCATCTTTTTTTTTTGATGATAAGTTTTTAAACTGCAGCTGATTATTTTCATTCAAGGACCCAATCAATGTATGAATTACATTTAATAATTCTTTCTTTGTCATTGATTGTTCACTCAAATATTTTTCTTCTTCTTCAAAGGTAACTGGAATAGGGTGAAAACTTCTTCCTGGTAATCCATTTGAGTTCAGTTTCTCATTTATATAGCTTCTTTGGCAAGATTGAGCCATGCTGCTAAATGATTTCATACCTTCACTTAATTTTTTACTTCCATCTAAACTCTCAAAAACAGGATCAAGTAAAATGGATTTAAGAAATCTTTCTTCCTCAATTCTACACGAAAACGTTGTGATTCTTTCTCAAAAGATGGTTTTGAACGAGGACCTATACTCTCTTGACCAGTATATCCAATAGTAGCAAGCAATTTTTTTCTTAACTGCCAGTCAAAAAGAAGATTTGTAAAATTATTAAAAAAATATATAAAATATATTAATATTAAGATTATTAATTTTTTAAGATAACTTACCATAATGAATTTCATGCAATT